TCTTCAGGGTAACTTTCTGGGATTTACTGGATGTCTCTGCCATAGTCAGCCAGTGGACAACTCCAGAGACATTGAATTAGAGTCCTACAAAACTCAGAAAGTAAAATACTTAGCATAATAGATAAACATTTTTACTTTCAAAATAAATAATTTTAAAATAGTATCTATCCAAGAACCAAATCTATGCAAAAGAATACTTGACATATGCCTGTAACCTAATTTGTGGACTCGGAAAATGTTAGAACCATCCCTCCCTCACAGCTAAGTATGTGTTTATAACACTATGCTTCTTATTTTAATGGCTACAGAAGCATGTATCCAGATGAATGCTTTCTATGGTATTATGATATGTTAAGGAATGAAACTGAAGGTGGCCCTCCCTCTTAGCTCTGTTCCTCTTGCCCTAAACTTATTTCACCAAACTGAAAACCATGGACAACATCCAACCTCTTCATTTCATAAATAAATAGACTGAGGCTCAAAGAGTTGAAATTAGAGGCAACACTTAGATTGTAATCCATATCTCTTGATTTTCAACCCCAAACTTGTTCTTCTATAACAAAACATGGTGGTTATTTATTTAGGTTTAGTCAGAGTTTTTAATTTATCATAAATAATGTTCTGATATAATTAAAAGTCTTAGGTTTCAGGGTGAGTATTAAGAAAACCTGCTATTCACCTGTAATGGTTACTACTGGATTGATGCTGCCACCTCTCAAAGGTAGGAAATATCCAGTTATCCAACATCTTAGACCCGTGACACACTTAGAAACAGATAATACTGAATATTCTTGCTGATGGATATTTTTAAATTAGATAACTAGGGGCTGGCATTGTGGCACTTCCTATGATGCTAACATCTCATATGAGTGCTGGTTCAATACTTGGCTTTTCCACTTCTGATCCAGCTCCCTGTTTATGCACCTGGGAAAGCAGAAGAAGATGGCCCAAGTGCTGGAGCCCCTGCCATCCATGTGGGAGATGAGAATGTAGTTCCAGGCTCCTGGCTTTGGTCTGGCTCAGTCCTAGTAGTTATAACCACTGGGGAGTGAACCAATGAATGGAAGATCTCTCTCCATCTCTCTTTGTCTCTCCCTCTCTCACTCTAACTCTGTTGTTCAAATAAATAAATCTTTAAAAATATAACTTAGATAACTAATAAAAAATAGGAATTGACTTTCAGGTAATAGGAAATCATACTACTATTCCCATCCCCCTCCCCCTAAACACATTCTAAATGATCCACAGGGTCTGTCTAATGAAATGTCGTGTTTCACAGAATTGAAGACAGTGGTTCTTTATCCAGATGTTGTGTCAGGAACTTCTAGGGTGAAAAATGAACATACAAATGCCTAGTCTGAACCACACATACCTGCCCTCCACTCAGAGACTCTGAATCAAAAGGTTTAAGGTTACATGAATTGGAAAAGCTGTGTGAACATACAACAGTACACAATGAAAAGCCTTGTTCCGCAACAATGGTGGAAAGGAGGTGGCTTCCTTTCAGATCTATAGAACCAATTTCACTCTAACTCTATAAATGCCAAACTTCAGATCCTATTCCACGTCTAACAGTTCATATGGATTCACAATCAATTCCTGGAGCTTCCTGGTTATAGAGCAACTGCTTATATTAACCAGCTCTTGACCAAGAAGATGCACATATTCCTAGTGGTAGATGTTCTTTAAAAATGTGGGAGCAACTCTGGATTTCCTACGGTATCCTCAGATCCATAAGCCACTATTCTTGAGGCACCACTCCTAAAAATACCTTGAAATCTCACCTCTGTCTATTGTCTGTATTAGAAGTTTCATAAAGGTTTTCAGAGTCCAGAAGGGAAGCCTTGGAACAGACCTAAATCCAAGCCTGTGAACAAAACATCTATTCCAGTCATACTGAGCCTAGTCTTGATTCACACACTTTGCCAAGAACAATGACTGGAGGCTAATTCTAGGAGTAGCATAATCCTGAAAAACACTCCTTTAGAGTCTGAGTGTCTCTGAAAGGAACAAATAGTGGAAGGAAAGTTGCCTGGCTCTCGTGCGGCACTGCGGCACAGAAATGTTTTTCTAAATCTAAATGTACTGTTGCTCTGAAATGAGATTGGAATCCATGGGGGGAGAAGCTCAACACAGCATTCAAAAATTTACAACATGAGACAGATTAACACTTCATACCAACAACTGAAACCAAAAGAATCAGATTGGCTACGGTCATTGATACTAGCTGTGTGCAGCTGGGAGGCTACAAAACTAGAATCACGTCTCACCAGGGAGAATCTTCACAAAACGATGAATCCTGCTGACAGGTGGGAAGCCACAATTGTTTCTTTTCTGAGCCTAAATCTGTGCTTCTACCTGTGAGCTGACTTTGACTTTGTTGTTCTGAACCTCTGTCTTGGTAACATGCCTGCTTTGCTCCCTAGCTGCACTGGTGGGAGGCAGAAAATTCAAAAGCCTACAAGGTCCAGCTACACAGAATAGACAATTGATGTGGATAATTAGAGAACTGGGCAAACTAAAGAGTGAATCCCATATTAGTAGAAGGCAGTTCTTGCAAAGCCTCAGCTGTTATTTTCATGTAGGAATATGGGTCCAGATTTTCCACTTATTCATGAGAAACATGACTTCTGGATTTTTTTAAATGTAAAATTCTTCACATTAACAAAGTCATCAACAAAAAATTACTACTATAAAAATACCAAAAAATGCGAAACATTAAATTTTGTTATGCATATTTTGTCATCATAAAAGAGGGAAAAAAGAAACAAAAATTATATGGGTCAAATAAAAAACATATAAGTTCCAGATTCAGCTGAAGACTCCCATTTTCAACCCATACCCTAGTACATGGCCTGACATAGCCCTTATTCCATGCCAATCATTATCTCTCACCACTTCTAAAAACTACTGCTACACTTCAGGTCAAGGACCCTGCCTCTGGAATCATCCACAAGATAACCATAAGGGTATGTTTTGGGAGATTTAGACGTGGTATAGCCCTAGAGATTGTCAAATTGCCAAGATACCTCACTTCTTTACATTAGAGCCTCAATACCTGGTCTTTTATACAAACTACTCCCAATGTCACAATCCCCAAAGTCTCTTGGGGTCTCCCTGCGGCTAGGTCTGCTCCAGTTTAGCATTGCCAGGTTTGGGATATCTTCTGCAGGGAATCAGATATTGTCATTTAGTCTGTCTTGAGGTGAAATAATAACTGCAGCTGTTTCTCAGCTATGTGCATGCTCTGATACCAGGCTATATGGTTTATTTGAGTTATCTCACTTTAAGACTTCAGCGACCTGTGAACAAGTGTAATTTCATAAGAAACCAGACGTCAGAAGGACTACACATCGTATTCAAATATACACAGCTTTTATATGGGTGTTTTGATATTTAAATTCAAATCTAAAGTCTATACGCACACCACTGCCTTACGTGTGACATTCAGGCTAGAGAGAAAAGGGAATATTTCTATACCTCCACGCAGATGGAAAGGAAAGATACTACTTGGCATTCTTCCTCAGTTTTTTGTTTTGAAAGTTCACAATATTATCACTGCAATTTTACAACTTTCTATTTACAGTTACTTGTGATTTCAGGTTTTGGGATTTCATGGGCCATTAATATTTCAAAATATATTCTTGGGAACCAGCAAAGCGTTGCCCAACTGCTATTTTGCTAAGTAAGGGTATTTTTAAGTCTTATAATTTAGTATCATTATTGCTTCATTAACTATAAAATATTTTTGGTATAGAGACACTCCTAGGCATAGGCATGCACACACAGAGAAATTAGTAGCCCCATGGGACAAGGGACACTGATTGTCTCTGCCTCCATTCATGGTGGTCAAGTCCATGTCATGCACAAGGAGTTCCCAGACTACACTTGTGCTGCCGTTGCAAAAGTTTCCCAAAAATCCCATTGTTATTTTTTATACTTTATTATTTATTATACTTCATTGCACAAAACAAAGCTATATTATAAGTGATAGTTGGGTTCCCAGAACTCAGGGTAGATCTAGAGTATCTTCTCTTATTTTGGATATGAGGTAACTATAGCACCAGGAGATTAATGATCTCCTTAAATAAAATACAAGCTCATGCAAAGCCAGAACTACAAATGACTTACCCTGATATCTATTTCAGTTTTTCATTTTAACAATGGAGACAATTATACTATAGAATCATTTTAACATTGTTAGTCAATAAATTTGTTGGGGGGTAATTTTGGAAGCTTATCACTATTTATAAAAATTGTTAGTAGAAAAATGTTATCTGTGGCAAAATTGAGAGATGCAAATACTGCTGTTAACGAAGACATTTTTCCCTTTTCATACCACACCTCCTCCAACCACAAGGGCAAGGACATACAATGTGAGCCTTAGAGATAAATCTGCTCCCAAGCCCCAAAAGGGAAAATTACCTCACTCAGCATTTTGGGAATTTATAAATCCGTGAATTCAGAGTGTTTGCACCACATTGTCAGTCAACATCACTGACGTGTCACCAGGGAATCACTATTAGCATAATATTTCATTGGGTTCCTATTGACTGTCCTGTTGACTCAACATCCTCCCTATACTTTCATAAGACCTGTTATACAAAAAGATCATTTGAGGTCGGGAACTAGCAGACATAAGCATGTGCAAATCACACACACTTGTAAGATTGAAATAAAGGATCTCTTTAAAGGTCATGGTAATCAATGAATTAAACTAAGGAAATTTCAGTTTATAAAACAAATAAAAGTGACTACAAAGGTTTTAAGACCCAAAACAATGAATTTTCTCATAGTTGTCTCCAATTTATATTCATGAATGAGGTCTTTCTAGTGATATAAGACAAACATGTAATATGTTATGACCACAAGCATTAAATATTATGAGTTTATATATGTGAGATAAATTAAATATATTATCTATGATATATAGATTATACTGAGATAATTGAGGAGATCAATTCAGGAAATATTTTTACACAGAAAAAGTAGCATCGTACTTGAGAACTTCAATTTTCTTTTCCATCTTCCAAGGTTTGCATTTGACAGTAGCAATCATTTGTCTCTTCTCATCTAATTCTGCCTTTAATCTTTCCAACTCCTCTTCATCAATTTCTTCTTCTTCCTCCCTTTAAATAAAGAAAAGAACTTTAATAAAGTTATGCTTTTTTTGACTTCCAAACTTAAGGAAGAATATTATCAGATATTCAGCCTATTTTTTCTTATTTGAGAAGCAGGAGTTGGGGGTGGAGTGGGGGAGAAAGAGAGAGAGAGAGAGAAATCTCTTCTGCTGGTTCATTCCCCAAATGCCCCTATGGCCAGGATTGAATTGGGCTGGGCTGAAGCTGGGAACCAGGAATTCAATCCAGGTTTCCAAAGTGGTTGGCAAGAACCCAATCACTTGAATCATCATTGCTGCCTCCCAGAATCTGCATTAGCAGGATGCTGAATTCAAGAGTTAAAGCCAGGAATTGAACACAGGTATTCCTAGGTGGGATACAGGCATCTTACATAGTGTCCTAACTGCCAACTTACTGCTTTTTGAAGTTTATTGTATATAGGCAATACTAAGACCTACAAGCATTAAAATCCACATCTGAACACTGATGCAGGATTACTGGAATTATTAAAACTTTAAACAGTACATTTGCATTCTGATCTCCTAGAATTAGGTTGTTCTTTCATGTGTATAGCCCCAAAGCTTAGAATTAGAAAAATTGTGGAAAAAATAGTATAGATCTATCAGGACATTTTCCTTTCTTTTCTATCCCTTGTAAGCCCTCCCTTACTAATTCTACATTTCACTTAAACAATCTATTTTTCAATAAGAATACTAAATTAGAGGTGAAAATATCTTTGAAGTGTCCTTAAAAAATTAAAGCTACCCTTAACTCAAAAGCAAGACAGAAAAATTGAAACAGGGAAAACTACAAATTTGTTTCTCAAAGGTAACCTAATCTGCTAATTAAACTCAAACCTTCAATTGATAAAATTCAGCTAGAAACATTTGGTGAAACAAATCCTTTGGAAAGACTTTCAAAGAAATTTGGTTTGTTACTGAGAAAATGAAATATATCTTTTCTTTCCTGCTTTCCTGAGATCACAAAAATATTATAAGGTTCAGAATTCAAAGAAAAGGAAAATATAAACATGAGCAAAGATATTTAACTGAGGAACATAATGCCATATTGTAGAGATAAATTTTTTGGTAATAGAATGTTTCAGTTATTCAGTTATTGTCTCTTCAGACATAAATTCTGTATTTAATATTATGGTGTTGGGACTGGGATTTCTGCTCTATCAGCTGAGTCACTGTTATCGACTGCTAAGAAGGGAATCTGTCTTTCCTTTGCCTTACTGTCTGCTACCTACATGTATACTGTTTGCTTCCAGGGGTAATACTTCCTCTGTAGCAACATGTCCTCACTCCAGGAGCTGAGTCTCCTACCCACAGCCTGCCAGGTGAATGTAGTTTGCCAATTTCCCCAACACTAGTGCAACTGACTTTATCATCTCCCCAAAGAACCCAGCTCCTGGCATTAGCTCCTCTACAAGGCTCTGGGTTTCAGCTCCATGAACTTCCCTTCTACCCTTCAAAGCTTTCATGACAAGCCTTTCCATTGTTCCTCCAGCCTTTGGGGTGGTGGTGGTAGATGTTCCCCATAAAAGCTATCACCATGATACCTTAGTGCTCTCTTCTTGCCTTTCCATTAGTCTCAATAAATAATGATTTATATCTCATAATAATTTTTAAAATTTATTTTCATTTTTTATTTGAAAGGCAGACAGAGGGGGTGAGAGAGAGAGAGAGAGAAAGAGAGAGAGAGAGAAAGAATGAATGAATCCCTAAGGGACAAATATCATATGTTCTCCCTGACCAGCGACAACTAACTGAGCACCAAAGGGGGAACCTGTTGAAGTGAAATGGACACTATGAGAAACAGTGACTTGATCATCCCTTGTCCTGACTGTTGATGAACAACTTAATACTTTATCCCTTTTAGTATTTTTTTTGTTCTAGTATTATTGGTTGAACTCTGTAATTAACACACAATTATTCTTAGGTGTTTAAATTTAACTGAAAAGTGATCCCTGTTAAATATAAGAGTGGCAATAAGAGAGGGAGGAGATGTACAATTTAGGACATCCTCAATCTGACTTGCCCCAAATGGTGGAGTTAGAAACGTGCCAGGGGATTCCAATACAATCCCATCAAGGTGGCATGTACCAATGCTATCTTACTAGTCCAAGTGATCAATTTCAGTTCACAACTGATCACACTTATAGGTCTAAGAGTCAAAGGGATCACACAAACAAGACTAGTGTCTGCTAATACTAACTGATAGAATCAAAAAGGGAGAGAACGATCCATCATGGTAAGCAGGATACACAGCAGACTCATAGAATGGCAGATGTCCTAAATAGCACTCTGGCCTCAGAATCAGCCCTTAAGGCATGCGGATCTGGCTGAAGAGCCCATGAGAGTATTTTAGGCATGGAAAGCCAGTGCCTCTCTAGCGAAAAAAAAAAAAAGAAAAAAAAAGCCACCTAAATGGAAAGACCTCCTGTGAGCGAGATCCCAGTGGAAAGAATGGAGCCATCAAAGAAGGAGGTACCTTTCTCTGAAAGAAGGAGAGAACTTCCACTTTGACTATGACCTTGTCAGAATAAGATTGAAGTCGGCGAACTCATAGCCTTGGCAACTCATGACTAGAGCCTAGGGAGATTACTGACACCATAAACAAGAGTGTCAAATTGTTAAGTCAACAACAGGAGTCACTGTGTACTTACTTCTCATGTGGGATCTGTCCTTAATGTGGTGTCCAATATGAAGTAATGCTATAACTAGTACTGAAACAGTATTTTACACTTTGTGTTTCTGTGTGGGTGCAAACTGATGAAATCTTTACTTAATAAATACTGTATTGATCTTCTGTATATAAAGATAATTGAAAATGAATCTTGATGTGAATGGAATGGGAGAGGGAGTGGGAGATGGGAGGGGTGTGAGTAGGAGGGAAATTATCGGGGGGGAAGCCATTGTAATCCATAAACTGTAATTTGGAAATTTATATTTACTAAATACAAATAAATAAAAAGAAAGAAAGAAAGAAAGAAAGAGAAGAAAGAAAGAAAGAAAGAAAGAAAGAAAGAAAGAAAGAAAGAAAAAGAAAAAAGAAAGAAAGAAAGAAAAAAAAAGAAAGAAAGGTCTTCCATCTGCTGTTTCATTCGCCCAAACACCTATAACAGCTAGGGCTGGGGCCAGAAACCCAGAACTCAATCCTAGTCTCTGCTGTGGGGTGGCGTGAACCCAGGATCTAGAGTTATAATGTGTTGCCTTCCAGGTGTGCATCAGCCGTAAATTGGATTGGAAGCAGAGAAACCAAATCTAGGACATGCTGGCATCAGAAGAGTCAACTTAATTGCTGTGCCAAACATCTGCTCCCATGTGTACCTCCCCAACAATTTTCGTTTTTTTCCCCAAAGAATCCTTTTATTTAAGGAATACAAACTTCATGCATGTCATAAATACAACTTAGAGACGTAGTGATTCTTTCCACCATACCCACCCTCCCACCCACACCCCACCCCTCTTCCTCCATTCCTCCTCCCTCTCTTATTCCTAGTCTTATTTTTAACAAGGATCTATTTTGAATTAACTTATACATAGAATATTAACTCTATACTAAGTAGAGTTCAACAAATTTTATTAAAAAAAAATCTGTTCCTCAACATTTGAGTCAGGGCTGTTCAAAGTCATTTAATCTCAAAGTTCATTTCATTTCTTTTTTTTTTTTTCAGTATTCTTTATTTTGTGAAACTTAATTGCCCTTTTTTTTTTGACAGGCAGAGTTAGACAGTGAGAGAGAGAGACAGAGAGAAAGGTCTTCCTATTTCCATTGGTTCACCCCCCAAGTGGCCGCTAAGGCTGGCGCATTGTGGCCAGCACGCTGCACTGATCCGAAGCCAGGAGCCAGGTGCTTCTCCTGGTCTCCCATGTGGGTGCAGGACCCAAGCACTTGGGCCATCCTCCACTACACTCCCAGGCCACAGCAGAGAGCTGGACTGGAAGAGGGGCAACCGGGACAGAATCTGGCACCCCACCCGGGACTAGAACTGTTGTGCTGGCGCCGCAAGGTGGAGGATTAGCCTAGTGAGCCGCGGCACCAGCCAAAAGTCATTGCTTTTCAAAGTGTCAATTTCACTTCTACAGATTGCCACGTAGGTGATTAATTAGTAATCACAGGTCTGGGAGAACATATGGTACTTGCCCCTTTGGAACTGGCTTATTTCACTAGGTATAATGTTTTCCATTTCCATTCATTTTGTTGCAAATGACTGGATTTCATTTTTTTTTTACTACTGTGTACTTTTCCATGGTGTATATATCCCATAATTTCTTTATCCAATCTTCAGTTGACAGGCATTTAGGTTGATTCTATACCTTAGCTATTGTGAACTGAGCTGCAATAAACTTGGGGGTACAAATAACTATTTCATATGCTGATTTCATTTCCCTTGGGTAAATTCCCAGGAGTGGGATGGCTAGGTCATATGGTAAGTCTATATTCAGATTTCTGAGGGATCTCTATACTGTCTTCCATAGTGGTTTTACCAGTTTACATTCCCACAAACAGTGGATTAAGACATCTTTTCCCCTACATCCTCACCAGCATTTGTTGTTTTTCTTTGATTTCTGAATGAAAGCCATTTTAACAGGGGTGAGGTGAAATCTCATTGTGTTTTTGATTTGCATTTTCCTGAAAGCTAGTGACTCTGAGCATTTTTTTATATGTGTCTTGGCCATTTGGATTTCCTCTTTCGAAAAATGTGCTTAAGTCCTTTGACCATTCCTTTACTGGGTTCTTTGTTTTGTTCTTGTTGAGTTTCTTGACCTCTTCATATATTTTTGCTATTAATCCTTTTTCAATTGCATAGTTTGCAAATAATTTCTCCCATTCTGTCGGTTGTCTCTTCACTATGATGAGTGTTTCTTTTGCAGTACAGAAGCTTCTCAATTTGATGTAAGCCCATATGTCAATTTTGGCTTTGATTTTCTGTACCTCTGGGGCCTTTTCCAAGAACTCTTTGCTTATGCCAATGTCCTGCAGGGTTTAGAAAATGTTCT